TCTATTATCCGAAGCTGAAAATTATCATGGTGCTTTCACCCAGGTCTCTGAAAATACGGCTGAGTTGAGAAGGTGAGGTAAAACTACTTTTAAAAGTTTTCAAGATTGATGGTGTACGATAAACTTATAAGTACCAAAAGTCTACTTACTGAGCGAAATAAGTAGCGGTTGAAACTGGCGTTTTTCAAGCTAATTATAAACTTATTTATGTTGAATGGTAGAATAATACCGGCAGGATGGCTGGTGCGTGGCACATCGCTAGTTCGATGCTTAAACAACCTAAAGGTTCCTCTAGGTCTACCAGAAGATCCGGTGAAACGCCAGAAATAAACCGAATCGTACCATTTCATTAAAGGCAGTCAGGAATCACCTAAGTCTCATTATTTTGGATTGTGATCAAGCCGCACTTTACCTTCTTTGGCTACTTCAAGCGAAAAAGTGACGGCATCAATCGTCCTCCCCCCTTCGCTAGGTCAATGATGGTATCCTGTATCTTTAGGATTTCTCGTGAAAACTAGAGCCCGTATAATTGCCCATCTACAGGAGGCCTCTGTAGGCAGTTGTTCTGACGGCTGGTCTCTTAAATGTGTAGTCAGAAAAGGCAGGGATAGAAAGTATCTCAGGGATTGAAGTTTGCTTAAGGTGATTTGAGGACTCTAAATTCCGTTTTTACACAACGCGTAGTAGTAATTATTTTTTATGCAAATAGTATTTAAGGTCAACGCTAATGCTCGGATATGAAATTAGTCGGCCAAGCTTCTTTTAGGAGATGTCAAAGACTGATAGTTGAAGTAGTAGTACTTACTTATAATTTAAGTAGTATTTAAGGCATACGGTAATTTTTAAATAGGAATTTAGTTGGAATAGGTCGCTTAAATTAATTTTAGGATGGGTAATTGAATATTTTCGCAACGAGTAGTAGTGATCAATTTTGATGTAATCAAAATTTAAGAACGTACCTTAGATCGCTAAAGGGGATTCAAGGACTGATAGTTACGTTTTCTCACTATTAGATCAGTAGGCATCTTGATGCAAATGAATTTCACCTGACTTTGCTTCCAAAAAGGCCATCTCATTCCGGCTGGACTTGACTGGACTGCAGATTTGACCTTGCCCCACCTTCCGTAATCAGTACCCTCAACAGGATTCTATACCGACTCGTTAATCTCTTGGCGATATTAACGCTTCACTGCACAGCCACGAGTGCAAGATGGTCAAAGGACAGATGCGATATGCAAAGCAAGCTAAGTCTGTCCAAAACCACATTTGCATTGTGCGATTGTCAATTAAATAAATATTAATTTGCTGTTCCATTCGAATACTTCAATTAATTCCGGTATACATAGGGTTAGAGAATATCAGTAATTCGTGAATAACGATTTAGGAATAGATACAAAGACCAAGATGGTGTGGCCTTCTGTTTGGTTGCAATCTCCTTCAGCTTTATAGTGTTGGTTCGACCTCGTTTTCCCAACTTGGTCAGAGCGTCAGGGAAACCGTGTGGAATGTAACTAGTCTCGTGTCCTCTGCCCTAATATTATTCTTGATTTCCAGCATCAGACCATTGACTTGGTAAATGTTCAAGCATTTCGCCGACATCGTCAGTGAGAGGTGTCATCATCAGTACAGAGTTACAACTTGTCAAAGTGACAAGTGAAGGCAAGCTCTTGAGCAATTTTATGTTCAACCGTTGTGGCATCACTCGTCGCCTCTATATTTTGATCTACCTTCTAGTTCTGTATCTCCTTCTCACAATCCTACTTCATATAACCCATTATTCTCGTTTCCTCCAATGTCGCCTAAGAATGTGTTGCAACAAGTGGGTTTCATGAAGCGTAATCGTCTCTACCACCGGTACCAGGTGCGGTTTGCAGGGCTCTGGGAAATTCAATGGAAATGTCAGCTCAACTCATATCATAGTGGGAAAATTCTACTACCACTCTTTCATCATTTTAAACAAAATAGGATAAATACATTTTACATAACTGACTTATTGGTAGTCTCACAACTCTATTTATATACGAAAAATCAAATTCACTGTTTATTTTCGTTTCACAGCCTTCTAATATAAATTTACTCTTTGACTGTCCGTGATCTGGCTGCCTAAGAAACTTCAATTTCCGTCCCCGATTAAGCCATATACGAGGATTTAGAGCGGATGATGCCTATGCCGGTGCCTGGGGATCTTCCTCTCCCTAGGCTTCAAACCCATGACTCAGTTATTCTCTTTCCCATCCCCTACCCACAGTGCCCCTCATTCCTTCGGGCCCTGTTTCCTGCTTAAGTCATAACAGCTTGTGTGAAAATGCATCGCATTCCAATTATTTCCCATACTTAGTCGTGAAAAGCACAATCCTCTTATTGGTAGGAAGACTAATTGGAACGCACCTAGTCCGGGGTCCATTGTCTGTATGATCATTTCCAAAGTTGAACCGTGGACGTGGAGACAA